GTACAATGATATAGACACAATAAAATGTCATTTAACTGTGGAACAGTGAAGATGGTATTATTTCAGAATTATTCCATTTTTTATGAGTTGTTCTCTAATTTTGATCTCCAGTGTATCTCAAATGGTGTATATGTGACCTAAAAGTGGGTCAGGTGGCTGTCCCACAAACAGAGACTCTCCATCTAAATGTTAACTCTTGAGGTTTTAAGTTTAAAATTCTAAAATACTTTTTTTAAATAACAGTTGGCTTGAAATGTATGATATATGAAAAAAAAAGTGTATAATTATAATTTTTATTCTGGTTTTACCTCTTTGTCCTGTAGAATGTGCACTTTGCTGAAGTTGACGGGGATGGAGTTTTCCCAGCTCTCTGTGTCACACAGCTGCTGATAGAAGGCAGGGCTGATGAGCACGTTTCCACCATTGGCCACAGTGAACTCGGGAGGAGGAGGAGGAAGAGGAGGAGGAGGAGGAGGATGAAGAGAAGGAGACAGGTGTTCCTCCGGAGGTGTCTTCACCTGGACTCTCACGTTCTCTTTGCACTTCTTCATGCTCAAGTCCAAGGTGCCATTTTCATCCACTTCTATGGGCATGTCCTGAAGAGACGAGGCCTTTAATCAGTCTCCACGTGTCAAACTATTTCATTCAACCCCGGCCACATTATTGAAGACATTGTTTATTGTTATGTCCATCCATTAACATCCATTTATAATAGCACCGTTTTATTACATCTGTTTTTTTTAACTCCCTCCTTTAATTTCTAATTAAATCACACACTCAAACCACACACGTTTTTTAAGTGACAGCTGTGTCTTCTGTTTTCTAGGACACACAATCAAGATGGCAGCTTGGGGGCAGGAAAGGGTGGAGTTGCCCAATTTGAGGGCATCACTATTATAAAAGGAAAAACGTGGCAAAAGTTTTGTTGACAGTCAGTTTGGGTTATGACCAAAACATTCCACGACTGTTTAATGGCGTTAAAAGTTTAAAAGTGTTAAATGGTCAAATCTTTCTAGACAAATGGAACTAATTATTCTATTTATATGTTTCACTGAAGCCTATCATTTTTTTGTAACAAAGGCAAAACCTTTCAGATTAATTATAGGGAGAGGGGGGTTGGAGGGGTCATTTTCATGAACACTGCACGTCCAGTTTAATTATCCAGGCATTTGGTGATGTGTTTACATCATCAAAAAATTACCATAATGATTCTATACAGTAGCAGGTCCAATAACTCTGGATTTATCCACTGTATTCACATGTTTTCTTAATTATTGCACTGTTTTATAAGTCAAAAAATTATAAAAGTATAATTCTGTTAAGGTATTGTAAAATGTTGTTTCTTTTTATTTTATTAACATACATGTGCAGATAAGTTAAAGACAAACAACACCACAGCACTCGTTAAAAATGGCTCATTTTCCAGACTTGAAAGCTGTTCTTTATCCCCCTCTCCAAGACAACTAAGCTGTAAATGTGAACAGATGATTAACTTGCTAACACTGTTTTATTCATTCAGTGGGCTGGTACCTGGTACAGGGCCACGTTCTCAGCTCAACAAGCTGGGAGACAGAGATCTGTGCTGTGTAGGTGTGGAAACCTTGAATCATCTACAGTACACCCTGCACGTATGTAACCTACCGAATGTAATCGCTATTAATCACCAAGTTTTTCAGGGCTGAACACAATACCAGGCTGACGGATACGGCAGCTGAGCAGGGTTTGGATCTGCACCCGTCTCCAAAATGACTCTGGTCTCGGTGCCAGTTAAACTTTTCAGATGTTAACTCCTTTATCTGATTGGATTAATCCGGTTAAATGCCGTTAAAGACTATCTGCTGTAGTCACCCAGCCTATGTTGGATCACACAACTAAGCAAAATATCCCCTGCCATCTGCAGTGGGCAAGATCCACTGACAGACAACAGTTCAGGCTTTTTACATGCCAGACGATGTCGAAATTTAATACAATACCACATGTGTTATTAATAAAAAAAAAAGGAGCAGCATTTTTAATAGGGAATCCTGGCTAATTGCATTTCTTAATTTGCTCTAATCACACAAGTTTGAATTTCTGTAAAAGAAAAAAACTGTCTTTTTCATTTACATACCTTTGGAGGAGTTGCCAAGGGCAAGCTAGCGACAGCCTCCACATCCTTGCGGTAGCGGGTGGAGAGGTTAAGAATGGCGGTTGTTGCCGCCTCGGCTTGGAGACCATCTTTTCTGAATTGACTGGGTGGACTGTGCTGACCAGAGGTGCTCAGACGGCCACCTGGTGCCCCCAGGAAGCCAGGATAATGCTGAGGTGCTAAACAACAAATAATCAGCGAATAATTCAGTCCAGGAGACAGCAGGTGTTCCTCAGGAACTTAATAATGAAGTAGTAAGATGTCAGTTGATGCTTTTGGCAGCAAGCAATAGAGACAACACTCGAGCAAAAATCAAACTGATAAACTGATAATGAATGAAAACAGAAAGGGGAAAATTTAATACAACATAATCAGATAATTTGTGTTTTTGAAAAATACTAAACCAATATTTGGAATGTTGGTACACTTCCTACAAATGTAGTTAAACTGACCAGTGGTCAAAACTGTTATTCTCATTGAAGAAATAATATGTAACATTAGAGTGTCCCCACTGTGACAGAATCAAAGAAAAATAATGCAGAATGTGTTCACTTCACAGGTCTGCCTGCAGTTTCAATTCTGTCTCTCTGTAAATATTTGTTTATTTTTTAACAGGAAATATGACAATGGTGACCAATGACTGTTTAGCTAAAAAAATTGACCTCCAAAATTGAACAAATAATATTTTCAGACTGGAGACTATATTTATTTTTCCTGCATTTTTTGAAAGTGTACCAACTTTTATGGGAATGTGGTTGGTGTTAATAGCTTACATTCAGGAAACGCTGACATTTCCTGGTCCTGGTTGGTCCCCATCAGAGTCTGTTTGCCGAAGACCTGTGCATCAAAGCTGGCGTAATCAAAGCGGATTCTGCTGTACTTGTCCATGTCTTTTGTGAGGCTAGTGTGCAACGCTGCTACTGGATGAGAGAGCCTGTAGTTCAAATGATTCATCTCGAACTTTTTGATCAAGCCGATGGCTCTAGAATACAAGAAAAAAAAGAACAACTGATTTTATTCTATTGTGCAAAATGTGTGCAATAAGAAGCCTGGAGTTAAGCAGTTAAGCAGAAACACAGTTTTAAACCATTCAGGGGTGCCAGTACTTTTGTAGACATAGAGTCTGGGATCTGATGTGTGTTGTAGATCCACGGCCAGGTTGCCAGACTAATTAATATAGTGGGAGTGGGCTTCCTGCCCGTGATATATCCACAGGGAACAAAGAGTTCTGCTCTTTTATCATCTCTAATAGAGAGGAACTCACAGGAGCAGCCACCACTGCTAATGTCTGCTTGGAAAGATGAAAATAGACTGTGTGTTCTGCAGGGATCAGTGAATGAAAATATTCCACACTCTCCACAACAACAATGGTGTTAATCAGGATGTCCGTAGCCTCAGTCAGGCCACAGACACTCCAGTTCACTGCTGTAGTTCAACTCATTTCCTTCATGTGTGTGGAAGCTGTTCCTCTGCACACGTGACCATGAACGTCAGCGGGAGTAAAACGCCAGCGTCTTATCTGGTATTTTACCTTGGTGAGCGGTCCAGTGTTTGTCTGCACTTCAGGCTGTCATCCTGAGGTTTGGATACTTTGACTGCAGCGGCGATGGGGCAGCCAGAGAGACTGGTCAGAGAGGAAATCAAACACATTAGTCCAGCACTGTAACTCATCTTTAAACAGGGGACAGAACTTCTAATGGCTCCGGCCTGTGCATGTACCTCCGGTGGGTGCTACGGTTGCTGTTGACATGACCTCTTCCTGTGCATCCCGGTGTGGGGCACTTGAGGACGTTCTCATGCATAGCCAGGACTGAGAGAGAGACGGAGAGGAGAGAATATACGGTTTAGAAATATATATATATATATAATAAACCCCTGGGAAAGCCCTAATACAAAAGCATTTCTTTTTACCAAAAAGTAACTCGCTTTATTTTAGATTAGTAACCACGTACTAAAGCATCACAACAGTATCCTGCTCTAACACTGATTCTCAACTTTTGGTTTGTGACTACTATATCATCTAAGGATATAGAGCAGCACTTACATTTTGGTTTTGTGCACAAAATAAAAAAAATGTCAATAAAAACTGTTGTGTTCAGATACTCCATGATAACAATTCCATGTTTTCCAAGAGAGGCAAACGGAGGACCAGGATTTTACACAGAACTGTTCGTCACATGAGAGGAGATGAGGATGAAAAACATGTGCAAATCAACAAAACATGCATAAGTACATTTAGTGTAAACTTTGTAAATAAAAAATTGCCTGCGCATGAAAAGACCGATTTATGTGACTGGTGCTACATTAGAGCCCACAGAGGAAAAAGATCCCACCGAGACAGAAGAAGAAAAAAGCCAAAGGATTTCTCCCACTACGAGGAAAGCTGTAATGTGGCTAAAATGTAAATAGCTTAGTGCGAAGAGGAGTGAAACAAGACTGCTGATTATATTCTTCAAACCAAACGCGTTGTTAAAGGTCCACGCTGTATCCTTAGAAACTTCTTTTCTGTACATATCCTCCAATTAGTTTGTTGGAGTTGTCTATTTATTTTTGAATTCCGCGTCAGCTAGCCCTTTGATTTGCAAATACAGCCTCCAGACTGAGAGCATGCGCTTTTTTGAAAAAGTTAATTACTTTTCTGTTCCTTTTGTAACATTACTGTTTAATGTTGAATGTTTGTTGAGTTATATTGAAATGACTTAACAATCGCCAACGTGGCGGAAAGAAAAAAGAAAAGAATTCAATATTCACTCATTACAACACATTACGAGGGAGAGAGGGAGAGAGGGGGAGAGAGAGTGACAGTGTGTCTCTACATTTGTTTGAAAAGTTTCCTGCACATCTTTGAATTAAACTCATGTATAAGCTGGTCTTTGCCGCCTCGGAGCTTTAGCTAAGAGGACTTCAATGACAGGAGGCTGATTGAAAGCGCACGACTGAAAACAGAACTCACTCTCAGGGGGGACCCGGACTTTGTGAGGACACCCGGACAAACTCCTGTGGTGTGGGTAGAGACCAGTCACATGACCTGTGCCATCGCAGCCAGGAGTTGGACACCTGATGTCCTTTTTATCCATTCGAGGAGAATCTATGTCAACAAAGTAAAAGAATGATATTGTCAGGAGAAATTAAATCACACAATCAATGTGTTGATGACTGTAGTTTTCCTCTCTTACATGAAGCACATTGTGAATTCCCCACCCCTGCCCCGTGTGGGGGTCAACAGACTGAAACATCATGCAAAGCCTGCATACACTTTTTATGCTTTATATTAATCTGTCATTTTAGTAACGGCTGTAGTTCAACACAGAGCATTCATTTCTTAATTCCCATCCATCGAAAGATTACATCCAGGATTACACATTTAGCAGAAGAATCAGGGGAGGGGGGCTTCAGAGTTACTTTAGGAGGATTTAAGACTTATGGCCATGGTTAAATGTCCGAGTTAATTCCTATCAAAGTACAATAATATTCTGGGTTTTAGCATCTTCACCAGGAAATTTAGTTTTTTGTTCGGGTCATTTGTTTTTACGACTTCACTTGTTGCCAAATTTGCTAAGAGGATTTCCTTCCGTTGATTTCCTCCCCCCCCCCCCCCCCCCCCCCCCCCCCCCCCCCCCCCCCCCCCCCCCCCCCCCCCCCCCCCCCCCCCCCCCCCCCCCCCCCCCCCCCCCCCCCCCCCCCCCCCCCCCCCCCCCCCCCCCCCCCCCCCCCCCCCCCCCCCCCCCCCCCCCCCCCCCCCCCCCCCCCCCCCCCCCCCCCCCCCCCCCCCCCCCCCCCCCCCCCCCCCCCCCCCCCCCCCCCCCCCCCCCCCCCCCCCCCCCCCCCCCCCCCCCCCCCCCCCCCCCCCCCCCCCCCCCCCCCCCCCCCCCCCCCCCCCCCCCCCCCCCCCCCCCCCCCCCCCCCCCCCCCCCCCCCCCCCCCCCCCCCCCCCCCCCCCCCCCCCCCCCCCCCCCCCCCCCCCCCCCCCCCCCCCCCCCCCCCCCCCCCCCCCCCCCCCCCCCCCCCCCCCCCCCCCCCCCCCCCCCATCACCTTTTCCTCATCACCTTTTCCTCCATGATAGTTCAGTCTGGTGTCCATGTCCATCATCCTCTGGTGGCGTCTCTCATTGGTCATCTGCTCCAGGAGGAACCGGTCCATTTCCCTGTAGGCGTGATGTAAGACTTGTCTCTGCTCCGTCTGCAGCGCAATGGCCTGCTCCAGCAGGCTGAAGTTCACCCTCCCCCGGCTCATTTCCAAGCCTCGCTCGTGGAAGCCCAGAGCCCAGTTGTTCAGCCGGGGTGGCCTCTCTGCTTCTGTCTCCCCTTCGCTGTCCTCGTCTGATGTGGGGGGTCTGTACCTTAAAGCCTCGGCCTGGAAAACACCCTCCCGGCTCAAGGGGCCCACGGGTTCTGAGGGAGGCTCTTCTTTTACGTGACCGTTCCTGACAGAGAAGTCATCGTAGGCTTTGGAGAGACTGCAGCCTGAGCCGTTCACCTTGGCAGAGAGACCTTCCCACTCCGCCCCCCTCAGGTCTCCCAGCACACTCTGAGGAGATGATGTGCTGCTCACTCTATCCTGACTTTGGTCTTCTTCTTCTCTGGTGTGAAGAAGCTCTTCCTCATCTTCATCCATCATGGCTTCAGCTGTGTCTGTGTCACAATGTGGGGAGCTATCAGAGGGAAATTCTGACCAGCCAAGTGGATCAGCGGACTTTACTGTTGCCTCGTGGAAGCCATTTCTGCTGGCCATCCCATTGACGTTTAAGTTGTCGTCTAGAATGAGAAGTGAACAAACATCACACTGTGTCAGCGAGTACTTGTTAAAGACCAGACATGTTGCTTTTCTTTAACATGTGGAATCAGAATTGTGTTTCTTTTCAAAATCCTTTTAAGGTTTTAGATTTTGTATTAATTTTCCGGAAAACCATGTTTTTGAGTATGTCAAATATTTATTAGAACAAATATTGCAATGAAAATGATTGAAGATTTCTTAGCAATATTTCCAACAACCTCCAGTTCAGTCTGCTTAGCCTTTCTCTGCTTGTTTAACACAAATCCTGGATTTAAAGATGGTCACAAAATAGATTTAGACTAAGATCATGTTGTTGTGTAGCACGGGGCAGTGAACATCGGTTTTAAATCACTAACATGCATTTTTTTAACCACCAACATGTCAATGGCTGCAGTGGAAAAATATATTAAAACTGCTGTTTCTAGCCACGACAACCAGGAGATGAAGAAGGATTTCTGGGGAACACAGCTGCAGAAGAGTCTGCTGTGAGCTGCTGTTGTCTGTGTGACACGGTGCAGTTTGAAGGAAGCCAACAATACGCAGAGTGACTGATGACAAAACTGACAGTAGCAATTTGCAGGATGAAAAGTGTCAAAGGGAATCCAGCCAGCAACAGGAACGGGGCGCTTTTCTTCACGAGTATAAGGCAGACTATTCAATTTAAATAAAAACATAGAAATACAGTAGAAATTAGAATGAATTCAACAGGAACAGGCTGATAACAGTGGTGCTGAAGTCACTTTACTGCAAATAAGGACCAAATGATGATCTACCTGATATGATGACCATGTAAATACTATGTCAAAAGTTAAACTCCTCATTAATTTCTCTTGATTTCATTGTACCACAGCCCACATCAGCCTACTGGAAAGTACAAAAGAAACGTTTAGATAAATATAATCAATTATAAAATGCAATTATATGATCTGGAAAATTATAAACAAGAGGATATTAGGCTAAATACAAAAAGTGAATTATAAACTGTTACATGTATACATTTTATAATTATACATACACATATATAGACAGACATCATTTTTGGTGGAGTCTCCCAGATTTTTTTTTTGCAAAAAACTGGATGAATATAATAGTGACCTGTGACCCATCAGACTCACTCTGTCTGGTCAGTGGAGTCAAAAACAAGGGTCAGGGTTAAGACTTAATGCATGTAAAACAACAGTCTATCAATGCTGATTTAATCAGGTCATGGTCAGTGATTAACATTAACAACGTCATCAACAGGATCAATTTAACAAAATCTGCCTTTTAACCTCCAAAACCTGCCAGACCATCGCTCGCTTAAGGCTCTTTGGACAGTGGGGTGACGGGTGGGGGTGGGGGGGGCTTTTACTTTGGTAAAGCTCGATTGAATATCCTCTTAAGTAGCTAGACATAACAGAAACGGCACCTAAAGCAGGATTGGAGATTGAGAAGATCCAGATGGATTGGTGGGAATCAGACCACGCTATTGTGAGGATGATGCAGATGTAGGGCATTATTTTACAGCTTTGGGTGGAGGGTGGGGGGCAGAGGGGCGCAAAATTTGATCCTCACTGAGAGAACTCGGGGGAAAAAACATTATATATTTATTTAAAATATTAAAAGGAGACAAACCCTAAAAAAAAATATCTAAGGATACTTGTACAAATTAGCATTTACAGGGAAAGCAGCAAGGGTTTAGGTTTTATCCAGATGGACTATGGCAGGCATGACACCCCCCTCCCCGCCCCCCGCCCCCACACACACACACACTCAGACACACAAATACACTGCAGTGAAAAGAGAAAGGAAAAAGGATTGCGGGAAAGAAAAAAATTTGGATCCCTCCAGTGGTTTGTGTGTTGGAACAGGTGAACAGTTTGTACTCCAGAATAGCCATTACCAGCTCTCTGCAGAAGGGCTGCAGTTGGCTGCAGTTGTACACAGTGTGGCTCAACCAAACATGCAGGCTTATTTTTTTTCTTCTCTCCCTCTTTTTGTGAACATGCACATATCACTGCTTTTGACGTCTCCTTCCTTACTATTTATTTAATGCAGCAAAAGGACCTTAAAGCTGAAAAAACCCTAACAACATCTTTCTATTGTGGGTTTTTATTCCTGTTTTTGTTTCGATGCCATAGTCCACTATTTTCGGTCACAGCTGGCTGAGAGAAAAAAAAAACACGTCCAAATACACACAAACAAAAGCAAACACACCCATGATGCCCAGTTTATTTCTTAGATAATTGTATTGTACTATGAACTCAGCAAACAAATAAATTCCATTTCCACTGAATCCCCACAATTCGGTGAGCTACTCTCCTGGTCCATTTAACTACACACATGTGTACTATAATGAGCTGTAGACATTATGCCTAATTATGTATTAGACTGTGTTAGAGGGCCTAACAAAAGCTTTTGAAAGGGACAATTATGTTTGTTGCTTAGTTACATCGTTAAAAATATACCAAATCAGTGCAGATTACAGTGGGTGAGAATGCACATGAACGCCACGGCCACAGGTTTTGCCAAATGTACAAAATTCAATTCATTAGTGAAAAAGAAAAATATTTTCAGTCCTGTAGAGGACAGAGGTTTAAGTGAAAATAAACAGTCGTTGATGAAATTTCGACTGTGGAGTAAAAGAGGAAAAAAAATAGAATAAAAAAAATAAAAAATCCTTAGAACTCGGGCCAAGCCGTGTTTACAACTCATTTGTTTTTCACAATAGGCAACTTTGACAATCAATACCAGAATGGAGGAAGTTTCATTTAAATCAAAGTGAACGGGTGCACTCCCCCATTCAGGTTTTCCATTCTATGCATTGAATGGGATCGGACTGGCTATTGAATGAGGACAGATGAGGGGGGTTTGTGAAATCTGGCCTCATCAAGAGAGGCTAAAGCCACGCCAAAAATATCATGGCAGATCAGCTGTCAAAACTTCAATTTGCGGACGTGAGACACAACTAATGTGGACCCAGCAGTGTAGTCTTTCACTTCCACTGCACAATGACTGTGGCTGCTGGCTGACGGCAGAGGGAGGGAAATATGAATGCAACAGATGGGATTTTAAAATTCAGCGTCAATTGTTCATCAAAACAGACAAAACAACAGGACATCTGTTTACCTGCTGGAGTGTCAATGTTCCTCAGCTCTTCTTTGTCCTGTGGCGCTGCCAGGTCCTCACTCTCCTCTTCACATGCCTCGCTGGGGCTGTAGTGGCGGGGCTTCATCAGCAGGGACTTTCTCTTGTTGACCGGGGCGCCCTGCACCCCTTCTTGAGCGCTCCTCTTTCTCGCCACGGACCCATATGGGCTGAGAGAAGGAAGCGGGACAGACGAGAGGTCAACGGAGGATTCAGATTTATTTTATCCTCATGTGCTAAAGACTTTTAAATTTAAATGAAGGGGAAGTATGGGTGTCATTCCACTGTACCTGTGGGCCTCAGTAACGCAGTCAGCTGACCCTGTGGAACAAACGGCAACAAACAACAGATGAAAAAGTCATGTTTGTCTTTCCACTACAGTAGCACAGCATCTGTCCATATATCCTTCATCAAAGCTTCCAGGCCGGGCCACTACTTTTGGGTTATTGCTAATGAAATTTTTACAATGCTGTGGAAATATTTGTTTTGCAGATAATGTTTCAGGAATGATGCCAGCGGGGTTTATACGGCTCCATCCGGCCTTTTACCGCAGATTCTTTTTTTTTTTTTTTCTCTCTTTTACAACACCATCAGAAGTGGTCTCCTCATTGATCTGAAAAGCTTTCATTCACTCGGCTCCTTCTCTGCTTTTCACAACCTGAACTAAAAAGGCTAGAGCAGTGCCACCCCCCCCCCCCAAGGTCCTGCATCAGTTTCATTCACAAGTTCTGTCTGTGCTCCTACAGTATGAAGCACGAGCAGCAACAGCACCACGTTTTATGAATATCAGCAGTAAGCAGGGTGAGCCTCAAAGGCCCTGAACACTCGCATAATGACAGATCCAGTGTAAGGTTTTTCAATCACACACACACACACACACACACTCCTTAACTAATCTGAGCCAGGGTTTCAATTTAATAAACTTACTCCCCTCTGAATAATGAAGCTTCACAGGTTCAGGATAAAACAGAAAAGTGATATTTATAAAGTTGAACACGGTGCTACAGTAGGTGGAATATATGTGTGTGTTTTCTGTTCCCTAAAAATGACTATTTCTGGAGAAAACAATAAAAAAAAAAATCTGACTGTGATGATGAAAACTGCAGCTGAATTTGATACATGATATAAAGAGTGTACTCACCTGTGCTGCTGTTACAGGTTTTCAGTGTTTGCTCCTCACCATCAGAATCCATCTGTTACAAAGAAAAAGAAAATATACACTTCATCCACTAAATCTCCCAAGAGGTGGGGGGTGGAGGAGTGTGAAGATAAATAAAAGAAATCCTAATTTAAATCATTTAGAATTATGGTCAATAAAATATATTTAAAAAAATATTTTTCTTTGTAAATTCTAAGTGCCTGTATGTTGACTTCAGAGACGAGTCATTTTGGTGAAAAAACAACAACATAATATTCACTGCATTATAACACTGATATAGAAGCAGATGAGGCATTTAAATAAATGTGGAACCGATTCTTTTGCCAAATCTAACGGCGCTGAAGGACGTGCTGTATTCAAACCTTTGTGGATTTGTTTTTTTTATTTTTGGTTGTTGTTTAAATTTATACCAAAGTCAGAAAAATCTAAAAACAAGCCTTTTTTTTGCTTTGTTTTTATGTACAGCTCTTAACACACTGTCAGTATAAAAAAACACACAAACAAGTGTTGTGGTTTGGAGAAAAGTTTCACAGGTAGGTAAAAAAAATATATAATGACAGTAAATGACATTGTGACATTAATGACATTAAAGTACCGACTGCTTCTCTCTCTCTCTCTCTGTCTGTCTGTCTGTCTCTCTAACTCTGTGTGTGTTTAGACAAAAATAGTTGCTAAAACCCATCCACTCTCACTGGCTGTTGCTTGTGGCTCCCAAATAAAACCTATTAAACATAATTATTCCAGACTGATGGTGGCGTATAGTGGTCACAGGCCAGTGAAATCTGTGAGTCATAGGATATGTTGTTACTTTTCCCTGGTAATGGGAAACATGACTCCTCTCTCTCGTTTGCTGTTGTGATTGAAGGCACTGACCTGTCATACATTTATAATAGGGGAGCAGGTGTGGCAGTGATGGACCTTAATTTCCTTTAATAAACCTTTTATGTGCCACACTCTTAATGCCACGCCGGGCCCTCGGAGGTCCTGCTCATAATAGGTTCATTACTTTTGATTACTACAGCCTATTGAGACAAACAACTCCCAAACACTATAGATTACATTCTGGGAAAAAAAAAAAGAAAAAGAAACATTGTACCTTATTAGTTTGAAACACACGTATGTTTTTTATAAATGTGTTATTTACAGGGTTGATCACAAATGTTTTTGGCCTCGAACTCTAATCAAAATTCAAATTATTTTATCAGCACATGAAGGATGTGTGTGTATTTTTATTATTATTTTTATTACTATATGTTTTCATAACGTTGCCAGATCACTATGGCCGTGATTTCATTTAAAGATGTCACTATTTTAAGCAGATTCTTTTTTCTTTTAAAAAAAAAAAAAAAAAAAAATTGTGTCTATTTTTGACTCAACCGAGCCACCAATACCGTGCGTGGATTCACGTAACGCACAGCGACAGGTAACAGGACACAGGGAAGACATCAGTCAATGATCTGCTCAATAACAGGAAGTCCAGGCATGACAACAATAGAGCTGGGCAACAACACACTGCAGAGCAAACAGATAACACTGACTGTGACGTTGGACAGTTTCAACACTACATTTACTTCCAATGATTGTTGTTTTAAAATAATAAATTCCATATGGGACATGTTTCATATGTTGTTGTCTATTTACTCATTGTTAAAACCTTGTGAACATCTTACACACCTCCATTAAATATCAGCGATTTAGATTTAAATTGAATTATTATTAGTATTTATTTCTTGACTGTGACTGATTTATATTTTTCAGTAAAATGTCTTTTAGCAAAATGTTTTGAAACCGTGATTGACAACAACATTTAAAATGTTTCTGATTTTGTCTACATCATAAAACCTTAGGTCAGGTGTGTTATTTGATTTTTATGAGGTTTTTGTCTCCATCATAAAACCTTAGGTCAGGTGTGTTTAAAAAAATATATGAAATGACAAAAAAGAAATCATTTTAATTTTATTCTATTATAATTTTTTAATTCGTTTTCGTAGGTTCACTTCAGCTGAAACACCCTGACATCTAAACCAGTTGTTTCAAATCGTGAACTGCAGCCCGAATATGAGACGTTAGGAGACATTTAAGGTGGCGCAGGTGTGAATCTTTCGATGACAGAATTGAAAAGAGATTGTTGGGATACAAGATGTGTCCATTTGATAAACACCGCTCAGAAATATCAAACTCAGCAGCGCATCTTTAAAAAGTAATGACTTTTCAGCTGTGAAACTAAATCTCTCTCTACTTTCTCTTCTTCACCGTCCTTCCGCCACATGGACTACCTTTATTTCTATGTAGTGTTTTTCTTATTTATTTAAACTATAGGTTTGTGTTTATTTACCTTCGACTGTTGTTTTCTGAGCGCTGTGTTAAACAAGACGGAAGATCCACGCTGTCCAGCCTGGTTGGTTCTTTCACAATAGCTGTCTCTCAGGAGCTGATCCTGTAATTCATTATCTGTCAAAACAAAACACACACACAAATAAACATGTGATAATTAATCTTACACACTGTGAGTTTTTAAAAGATCTTCTTTAGTAAAAAGAAGAAAAAAAAAAGGTTATGTACTGGGGCAAAATGCTGTCAGAATGGGGGTGGGCATGTTAATACCCTGCTTTGGAAGATGGGGCAAAATGCAAATTGATTGCCTGACAGAGATCAAATTGCTTGTTTCTAATTAATACAAAACATCCAAGAGGGAAAACACAGATGAAGACAATGCATACGTTTTAAGCCTCTTCACTTCAAAGATTTGATTCACTTCAATTATTTATTTTTGTTAGTAAAAAAAAAAAAGAAAAGACAGAAAAA